GAGACCGGTAGCAAGCAAGGTATAGAAAAATTCAATAACGTTTAGGAAGCTCCGCTGGGAAATTCTAAACCCGGAACCGCTTTCAGAGGGTTCTAATTAGTAAGAACAGCAAATTTCAGAAGTCTCCGTTATCGAATAAGAACACAATTATTGTAGAATGTCAGTCAAGACATTTCACTAAAAAATATTTGTCGAGTTTATGACTCAGGTTAGGTTAGGTGAGGCCAGATCAGTTCAAGTCAGGTGGTCACCTGAGAACTTGTTTGATCCACAGACCGGATCAGGCCAATGTCGACTCTAAGCGTTCAAAAATAGTCATTATTAAGATATTTTATTTACAAACATAATATCACATCTCACATCTTTCACTCGATTGTGACATGCAACTGTTTTTTTGTTTAATTAAGAATTAATTCTTTAATTGTGATTGACACCAACAAAACGTCCTAAATTAGCAATACTAGCGGAACCGTAATCATGCAATAGATTTTTTTCGGAAAATGCAGTTATTTTTTTGTTCTAGACGGAGTGTGCTCTGTTTTGTATCAATTTTTACATATTTTTGGTCTCAATTTTGGTAGTTATTTATTTTCCATGCATTGTATGATATTAACATTGGGAAAACTTTTAGCATAATTGCAAAATCCATATTTCCCTGCAAAAATTCACCATTGAAGAAAAATGTTTAAGGTTCTTGTAGCGAAAAAACTATTTATTTTAAGAAAAACGAAAACAAAATATATGCCCCGCCCACCCACCCTATCTCAATTGTAATGATTTTTTTTATTTGTCGTGAGCCAGAGGGCGGAGCTTAATTGCAGAATTCTTATTTTTCCACAAGAAATTACCATCAATTTCTTACAAAATTATGTTCAAAAGAAACTGTAATCATCAAGTAAAAAGGAAGCCAAAAATTGAAAAAATTAAAAAAAAACAGAATGACGAGTTCCCAAAACTGATGTTGAAAAAAATTGAGAAATCGAAAATTTTAAAAATGGGAAAATTGAAACATTTAGAAGAACTGATAACTCGAGAAATCGGAAAACCTAGAATTTTAAACATTGTAAAATTAAAATATCCAAAAAATTTAAAAATTGAGAAATCGAAATATAAAATCTATAAAACAGTCGAAAAATTTAAAAATCTAAAGTTTAAAACACGAGAAACTGAAAATTCAGAAAATAAAAAATCGAAAAATCCGGAAGTCGAAAAATCGAAAAATAAATTTAAAATTTAAAAAATTAAAAAAAAAAACAGAAATTAAAAAATTGAAAATTAAAGAATTGAAAAAATCGGGAAATCGAAAAATCGAAAAACCAAGATGACAAAATGAGAAAATCGAAAAATTGAAAAACAGAAATATTGAAGAAGTAAAAAATCAAGAAATCGAAAAATCTAAAATTTAAAACATTGAACAATTAAAATATCGCAAAATTGCAAAATTGAAACATTTAGAAGAACTGGAAACTCGAAAAATTGGAAAACCTAGAATTTTAAACATTCTGAAATTAAAATATCAAAAAATTTAAAAATTGAGAAATCCAAATATAAAAGCTATAAAACAGTCGAAAAACGGAAAAATCTAAAGTTTAAAAAACGAAAAACTGGAAATGCAAAAAATAAAAAATCGAAAAATCCGGAAGTCGAAAATTCGAAGAATCGAAATATTGAAAAATCTAAAAACTGATAGAAATATCCAACATTGAGGAATTAAAAAATTGGAAAATTGAGAAATTGAAAAACCAAAAAATCGAAACATCGAAAAATTCAAAAACTGAGAAATTGAGAAATCGAAAAATTAGAGGATCGAGAAATCGAGGAATTGAAAGCCGAGAAGAAAATTTAAAAATTGGAAAATCGATAAATCGAGAAACAGAACAATCAAAACATCGATAAATCAAGAAATCAAAAAATAGGAAAGTCGAAAAATTTAAAAAAAGTAATATTGGGAAATTAAAAAACTAAAAATTCGAAAAATTGAAAAATTGAAATATACATAGAAGAAGTGAAAACTCGAGAAATTGAAAATCCTAGAATTTCAAAAACTGAAAAATTAAAACATCGAAAAGTTTAAAAAATTGAAAAATCGAAGTATAAAACAATCGAAAAATTGAAAAATCCCAAAAAATGAGAAATTAAAAAATTGGAAAATCGAGAAATCGAAAAATAAAAAAATCGACAAATCTAAAATTTGAAGAATGGAAAAATTGAAAAACCCCAAAATCTAAAGTTGAAAAAACGAGAAATCGAAAACCCAAAAAATCACAATAGCGTATTTATAAACCACAAGTTCAGAACTAAGCTACTTTTTAACATTTAAATAGCATTTATACGACAAGGACATCAACAATTCCTGGTAGGCATCAACGGATAAGTAAATTTTGACTAACGATTTAACATGCTTCAAATAACTATAAATTGTAAAATGTTGTTGATTTTTTTCCAAAAATCTTGACGTCTAAAATTTGATGATTTCATCATAGTTTCTCAGTACGGTTTTACGCCAAAATTTCTTCGATTTGGAAAAAATTAAATATTTGTATAAAAATAATAAACATGATTGAGTGTATATTTTTTTCAAAATTCTTTCAAATTCGTTCAAAAATGGAACAATTTCTTTAAAAAAATAGTGGGAGGTCCCAAGACTCCGATTTTTTTTTTAAAACAAAACACCAAGGTCTCTCGAGATTCTTTTAAATTCATTCAAAAAAGCACCCGAGACCTCGAAAATTTTTAAAACTCTTAAAAAACCCTAGGGGTTCTTTAAATTTTCTCCAGTTTTTTAATTAAAAAAAAAACACAAAAACCGGAATTTATTTCTATACAAAAATACTCGGAAATCCCAAGTTTCTTTCGATTAAAAAAATCACCAGGGGTTGCAAAGGTTTTTTCCCTTCTCTTAAATTGCTTAAATCTTATCTGACCTGACCTGACCTGACCTGACCTGACCTGACCTGACCTGACCTGACCTGACCTGACCTGACCTGACCTGACCTGACCTGTTCTGACGCAGTCAATCCTGACATGATACTAATTTGGCCAGTGAAGAGAGCACGAAAAAACGTAAGTTAATGTTAAGTACGGTTAGTAATCAGAAAATAATTTGTGATGCTGATGACATTGTTCCAAACATTCTGTTGAAGAAATATAAACACACTGATAGGATTTTTCCTTCTTTTCTTTCTCTTTTCAACAGAAGTGCACGTTTTGGTCAAATATCGGGCTTTTATTGTCTTCCACTGTCGAAAGAACTTGAAATCTCATTTCTTGTTAATATTTATTCATGATATTCAAAAGATGTCAGCACGAATCCGGTCGATGAACCTAGATGCTAGATACAATGGAACATTTAATTCGCTGGAGTGACTTCTTGGACACAGAGGATGCAACTAATCCTGTGAAATAGCGAAACTGGTTGATCCAAACAGTTAACGACGAAAAAATAATGAATATTTTACTTCTAAGAAGTTCGTGAGAGTGTGACGAAATAGAACTAACAACTTGTATAAAACTCGGTCGGAAAATAAAGTATTAATTTACTGATGTGACTCGAATGGAGCGCCACGATTCAAAAATCGCCTTTAATCCCAGTCCAGAAATCCGGTTGCATTCGGCTCGATCGTCGCCTCTTCCCGAATTCCTCCCGTCTAATTTGCCCACATTCGGGCATAATTCATGCGACAAAGCGACGTCCCGGCGAGTTTTTTCTTCAGAGCTTTGTAAAATCCAGTCCGCCCCTGCCTCCGTCCCGATTTTAATTCGGACCCGCCTAAATCAACCGCACAAAGCTCCCCCAGTGAAATATTCCCGTCTCGACGTGTCGCCCTTAAAAGGTCACGTATGAGGAAAAGTGCGTGCGGGTCGCGGGGCGTATAAACATTTTTTCGGGATGAATCGAACGCGCCGAGGTTAAGGGCGAAGGGCTCGAATCGCACGTAAGGGACAGATCTCTCGTAAACTGCCGAACACAACTACCATATAAAATTATCCGATTGGTTGCTTGAGTGGCCCAGGACCAATTCGGGCGCCGTAATTCAGGAATCAGTTTACGATGAGGCGCAGTTATTGCCGTTTTATTCGAAGGGAATTGCAAATTAGGCCGTAAAAATTGACAACTTGCTCGGATTGCGCGGACGGTGAGAGGCTTAATTAAAATTTTTTCCAAGTGTTGTTTTATGGCGCTCGCCGGAGCACGTTCTACAACCTATTAAAAGTTTGCCACGGGAGGAGAGGAGGATCGGTCGGATTCTTAAAAGCGCCAGAACGGCCGATTAATGGAGATGCACTTCGGCGATTTAGTCGCGCTAATTCGAATTAGCGGCGACGGATAAGGGCTTCGTTAAAAAACAATCACTTTCGGCGCATTTATTTATAATGAACTTCTGTACCGGATGCTAATTAAACAGTAAAGTGCGATCTTTATGGGCCTTTTTTAATTTGCCACAAGGAACTGGAGCACGGCACTTACTTTAATAGGGCACCGGGCCCATCCAATTTTAGCGACTACCATTTTTTAAATTTTTACTTTAATTTATGCTAAGTCGGGCAACACTTTAAACAACGATACAGCCCGATCAAAACGACGATAAAACTGTCTTGATCTAAATTCTTCCAAATCTTCTACGACCTAAGTAAGAGAAAGTTTTGATGTGGCAGTATTCAAATAATGAACGGATTAACTTTTTATATAGGGTCAAAAACACGGATATTGGTAAAGGTCCTGACAACGTCACCACATCACCGTCCGCGGTGTCCTCTCTTTTCTCTCTTTACGTTAACAATAGGCGTTAAATCGCAAACTTCCCCCAAAAATCACGTCACTTATCGCTTTAAAAACTTCCCTCCAAAAACTCCCGACTCCATGCAAAGTTCCACCATTCTAATCAATTATTCAAAACTTGCACGCCACGCCGTAACTAAGTACATTACCGCATATGTGAAAGTTCGTCGGTAATCCGGCGCTTCGCGCCTGATTACCTCCGAGTCCTTAAAATACGTACCTGCCGTAAGCTGCAAGGATCCAGCGACTCTCGCCGTCCCCGAATGTACGACGTAAGTTATGCAGCACGCCGCCGTCGCCGTCACGGCAATGAGCAAGCTCAACGCACTTCCGGTCCCCACCAGAACTGTGCTCGCCTGCCACCAAGGGCTCGGAATGTCCCAGAACCTGCGGAGGAAGTTAAATCTTAGTTTCTCCATAATTTACTGTGCATCTGAATCGGCCTGGGACCGCTCGAATGGAAAGTCGCCACGATTAATTTTCCTGCCGACAAACTTTGATATGTCTTATTATTACCATTAGGTAACTGCTCGGTGACGCGGAAATTTATCAGGGAGATGAATGATTTGGGGCCGCAGCAGACGGAAAAACAAGGAAAAGAAACGGGTGTCGGCTAGAGGGACATCCGCAGAACGTAATCAGGAATTCTTCCAGGGAGAATTAACTTCGGAATTTTCTTTGTTTCCTATTCTAGAATTTACGCGAGAAAATGCATTAGATTATTGTGCTGCAGCTGGAATTTTTCTCATGAGTGATTGTTATTTCCCGAGTGTAAGCTAAGGAAGTATTGTAATCGAGTCTATCGACCGACTCTTTTCTTTCGTGACCCCAAGAGTACGAAGAAATAAATACGTGTCGAGTTTTTTTTTTTTGGAAAAAAATTATATATAACATTTTGCAATTTAAAAAAATTAATAGGTACTCTGAATCTTGCAAACGTTTTAAGATAATCGTAATTATGGTAATTGTTAATCAAAATTTATTCGTTTAAACCCTCCCAAAAAACTTGATGACGTCATCGTAAAATTTTGCCTAATAAATCTTCTCTGAAATACGAAAAATATTATTACTCTATAGTCTATATACACATGTTTATTTACGTTATAAGCGTTATAAAAAATAAAATTCCCAAATTAAATCCTACAATTTTTCTAAAAATCTGGATTCATTTACCTTTGACCAATTTTTGGTTTTTAAAATTTTCATTTTTCAATTTTGTCTTTTTTCAATGTTTCGGTTTCATAATTTTTCGTTTTTGCAACTTTACTTTTTTCAATTTTTCAATATCTCGACTTCTAAATTTTTCAATTTTGCAATTTTTCCTAAATTCTTCAACTTCTTGAAGTTTAATTTTAATTGTTTCGATTTTTTGTCACAATTTTTCGTTTTTTTATTTCCTTTGTTTTTTCAATGTTTCTTTGGATTGTATAATTTTTAGTTTACTCAATCCTTCAAATTTTCAATCTTTGATTTATCAATTCCTCGATTTTACAATTTTTCAATTTTGGAATATTTTGTTTTTTCGATTTTGGAGTTTTTCGATTTTTGAGTTTCTCAATTTTGTAAGTTTTTGATTTTCAATTTTTAGATTTTCAATGTTTTCATTTTATCCTTTTTGGTTTTTTCATTTTTAATTTTTCAACTTTATAATCTTGTAATTTTTCCATTTTTTTGATTTGAAAACCTGAAAATTGAAAAATTAAAAATCGAAAAAACAATTGGAAAAAATTGAAAATTGAAAAACTGAAAGTACAATTTTCGATATTCCAATTTTTCAATTCCTAAATTTCTAATTTTTCGTTTCATAACTTTTTCAAGTTCTTGATGTTCAATTTTAATTTTCTTGATTTTTTATAACAATTTTTATTCTTTTTATGTCCTTTGTTTTTTCAGTGTTTCTTCGGATTTTATAATTTTTCCTTCACTCAATCCTTGAATTTTTGGGTTATCAATTCCTCGATTTTCCAATTTTAAATATTTTTAATTTTGCAATTTTTGGATTCCTCAATTATCCGATTTTCCGATTTTTTAATTTACAAAATTTCGATTTTGCCGTTTTTTGATTTTCAGTTTGTCAATTTTTAATTTTACGATTTTTCAATTTTGTAAATTCTTGATTTCCACTTTTTAGAATTTTCTAACTTTTCATTTTATGGTTTTTCGTTTTTTCGTTTTTGCTTTTCAATTTCATAATCATGCAATTTTTCCATTTTTTTTATTCGAAAACTTAAAAAATCGAAAAATAATTAAAAAATCGAAAAACAAAAAAAAATCGGAAAAAATCATTGAAAAACTGAACAAACAAAAAAATCTAAACACTAAAAAACTTAAAATCGAAAAAATTGGAAGCCCCAAAAATTTATTATAAATCCAGAAACTATTAAATCGTCGAAATTGTAAAATGAAACGAAAAATTGAAAAAAAAAAATCGACAATTTGAAGAATTAAAAATCCAAAAATTGAAAAAAAAGTTTTGAAATCTAATAAATTGATAAATGGAAAAATTCAAAAATTCTAAATTGAGAAAGAATTTTATTTTAATTATAATTTAATTAAAAATTGCAAACGAAAAAACTGAAGAAACGAAAAACTGAAAAAAAATTAAAACTGAAAAACGAAAAATTGAAAACCGAAAAATTGCAAAACGAAAAATTGAAAATTTTGACATTAAAAAAAAGGAAAAATTATAAAATCAGGAAAAACTGAAAAATTTTTAAAATTAAAAAAAAACGAAACGAAAAATTGCAAATCGAAACACTGAAAAAATGAAAAATCTAAAAATTGGAAACCCATAAAATTACAAATCAAAAAATTGCATAACCCAAAAACTGAAACACCCAAAATCGAAAAATTTAATAAAGAAAACTTGTCGAAATGGGTCTCGTAAAATTGAAGAAACATAAAATAAATGAAATATTGAAAAATTGCGAATCGAAAATTGGAACAAACGGAAAACTTCAGTTTTGGAATTTTTCAATTTTCCAATTCTTCAATTTCACGCTTTTTTTAAATTTTCACTTTCTGGATTTTGCATTTTTCGATTTTTCAGTTTTCCAGTACGATGTATTTCCATTTTTTTTTTATTTCTCGATTAAGTTATTAATTTTCTTTCTCTTTTTTTATCTATTTTGGACCTTTTGTACTGTTCGTCAATAAATCTACATTATTATTGTGTATTATATATTATTATTCATCGATTTTTCGACTTTCAATTTCTCGATTTTCAGTTCTTCGAATTTTAATTATTCAGGTTTAAGAATTTTAGTTTTTAGACTTTTAAAGTTTTCGATTCTTCAATTTTTGAGTTTTTCGATATTTCGATTTTTTGACTATTAGACTTCTGGATTTTTCGATTTTTTGATTTTCTTATTTTTCAATGTCCCAACTTTTCGAAGTTTCGATTAATCGACATCTCGATTTCTCGATTTTCTCAATTTTTCTATTCTTGAATTCTTCAATTTTTCAATTTTTTGATTTTTAGGTTATTGAATTTTCAATTTTTAGAAAAATTGAAAAATGTCTCATAAAAAAGAAAAATCAGATCAATGAAAAACCGAAAAATTGAAAAAATTAAGAAGATAAAAAACCGAAATGAAAAATTGTAAGTCGAAAAAACTGAAAAAATGAAAAATTGAAAAATCCAAAACTGAAAAATTAAAATCGAAACCCCTTAAAATTGCAGAATCTAGGAAATGAAATATCCAAAAATGAATTGGAAAATCGAAAAACTGAAAAATTTTAAAATGAAAACTCGACGAAATGCATAACGTAAAACTGGAACTTTGGAATTTTTCAATTTTTCGATTATTCAATTTCTTGGTTTTTTTAATTTCCAATTTCTCGATTTTATATTTTTCGATTTTTCAATTTTCCAGTAGGACGTTTTCCGTTCTACAATTTTTTAATTTTTGCCGTTTCCAAATTTCCGATTTCTCGATTAACTTATTATTTTCCTTTTTTTTCAAATTTTAGTTATTCAGGTTAAAGATTTTTCAGTGTTTCGACTTTTAAAACTTTCGATTCCCCGCTTTTTTTTAGTTTTTTGATTTTTCGATTTCTCAATTTCTCGTCTTTTCGATGTTTCAATTGCTCGACATCTCGATTTGTCGATTTTTTCAATTTTTCTGTTCTTCAATTCTTCAATTTTTCAAATTTGCGATTTTTTAGGTTTTTGAATTTAAATTTTTTTGAAAAACTGAAAAATCAAAAAATTGAAAAAATTCACGCTAGATGACCTTAAATATAGTGCCAATATTTGCGCTAGAGGTCGGCTCACTACAATCCACTCGTTCAGGAGCTTTGTCCCATTTTTTCATTACGTTAATACTAATTTAATTTCTTTTATTCAATGGTAAGTTTCCACATTGTTACTTTTAAGTTCACTTTACTATTCTTTTAATATTTAAGCTCTGATGATGATACGCGATAGTATCGAAACATGTAAGCGAATATAATAAATACATTTTTTTTGTGTTTTCATTCCGAGTGCTTGCCTAGCACTCGTCCGGTGCGTAATCGCTCAGCGGAATTAAAGCGCCCCGCAGTTACTTCGTCTGCCCGTGCACTAGAACGGAAAATGTTTGTCGTCTTGCAACAATCTCCAGCTCTGGCCCGACGTTTATTTATTTTCCTCCCCGACAGAAACTATAAATCAACAGAGCAAGAAACCGCAAGAAAAAACTTTTTCATAGTTTACGACACGAATTGTTGAACTCCAGTCCGTAACATTTATTTTAAACTCGGGAGCTGCGTCTGATGGTTGCATGCTTTCTCTTGCACGTCTCGAACGTATCTCTTGGACGCAATCCAGCAATGTTAAACAACGTCATTTCGCAGTTTCGCTTCGATTTGTCTCAATTACGAGGATTTATTGCGCGAAAACTAACACTATCACCTCTTCTGGATTCAGAGCACGCGGGACGCCTCGGATCTTCCTCCAGACAAACCTCATAATATTCGATCGACTGGAGAACAAACTGCTTTGCGTCTTTTGAAGTTCGCGAGTCTAGACGTGTTGCTTGTAGCGACAGTTTTCGACTTTTCGCCAGAGAAATATTTGGCCTCTGGAGGGCGCTAACGAACCGACGACACTGCCTGGATTAACCAGCTCATAATTTATTTGAAGTCCCTATAGCGAGTTTTGAACGCTTCGGTTTGATGCTTAAACTTACTTCAGCGGAAATATATGGCGGGGTGCATGTCGATGTTTGAAGTGTAACGGATGTCACCCTTGTGGATAGTCGACACCGAGGTTACATCGAAGCATAGCGATGGAAAACTTACTTTTGAAAACAATTCTATGTTACTTACTTTTTTTTGTTCTATTGTAATCGAATCTATCGGGCGACTGGCCACTTTGATGTTTTCTCGACGTTTCATGACCAAAG